CAAAAAGTGAAACTTGTATATTATATTCATTCATTACACACAGACTGATATATTTCAAATGTTTATTTATTTTAACGTTGATTATTATAACTGACAACTAATGAAAACCCCAAATTCAGTATCTCAGAAATTTAGAACATTACTTAAGACCAATAAAAAAATATTTTTAGAAATGTTGGCCAACTGAAAAGTATGAGCATGTACAGCATCAATATTTAGTTGAGGCTCCTTTTACCTGGATTACTGCAGCAATGCAGCGTGGCATGGAGTCGATCAGTCTGTGGCACTGCTCAGGTGTTATGAGAGCACAGGTTGCTCTGATAGTGGCCTTCAGCTCTTCTGAATTGTTGGGTCTGGTGTATCACATCTTCCTCTTCACCATTCCACATAGATTTTCTATGAGGTATGGTCAGGTGAGTTTGCCGGCCAATTAAGAACTGGGATACCCTGGTCCTTAAACCAGGTACTGGTAACTTTGGCACCGTGTTCAGGTGCCAAGTCCTGTTGGAAAATGAGACCTGCATCTACATAAAGTTGGTCAGCAGCAGGAAGCATGAAGTCTCTAAAACTTCCTGGTTGACAGCTGCGTTTACCTTGGACCTCAGAAAACACGGACCAACACCAGCAGATGACATGGCACCCCAAACCATCACTGACTGTGGAAACTTGACACTGGACCTAAAGCAACATGGATTCTGTTCCTCTCCTCCCTTCCTCCAGACTCTGGGACCTTGATTTCCAAAGGAAATTCAAAATTTACTTTCATCAGAGAACATAACTTTGGACCACTCAGCAGCAGTCCCAGGTGAGACACTTCTGATGCTGTCTCTTGTTCAAGAGTGGCTTGACAAGGAATGCGACAGTTGAAACCCACGTCTTCCATACGTCTGAGCGTGGTGGTTCTTGAAGCACTGACTCCAGCTGCAGTCCACTCTTTGTGAATCTCTCTCATATTTTGGAATGGGTTTTGTTTCACCGTTGTCTCCAGGGTGCAGTTATCCCTATTGCTTGTACACTTTTTTTCTACCACATTGTTTCCTTCCCTTCACCTCTCTTAATGTGCTTGGACACAGAGCTCTGTGAACAGCCAGCCTCTTTAGCAATGACCTTTTGTGTCTTGTCGCCCTTGTGCAAGGTGTCTGTTAAAGAAAAAAAAGGAACAACTCGAGTTGGACACCAAAATACAACAGCTGCTGCTAATGGCAAGCTAGTAGTGCTAGAGGGCAGCACTAAAGGCAGCATTACATCTAAGCACTCTAATGGAATGGACTCATATGTTAGAAAAGGTGCTAAACCCAAGGTAAAACCTACTTTCCTCATTTCACAAGCTACACAACTTACTACCAAGACTTCACAGAAGCTTCATGAGAATACTGGACTGCTGTTGGATAAAGAGGTTGTGTCAGATCTAAACACAGCGTATCCCACCCAGCTCAAGTGGATGACACTGTTTTTAATACTTTTGTGTCACAAATGGCTTCCTCTGCTGTCCAAAGCTCTAAATCTTCTATTATTTTACCAGAAACAAATACTGCCTCTCAAAACACTCAGCTTCCATCAAATCTAAAGAAACCTACTGGAGACCTGTACAGTGTGTTGAAACAACAGAATGACAGAACTCTTCTGGTTCAAATGCAGACAAGCCAGTCAGTACCACATCGAGAAGTTCCCATCTACGATGGAGATCCTCTACAGTTCAACTCCTTTATGAAAGCCTTTGAACATTGTGTGGAGGCAAAGAGCAATTGTAAAGGAGACTGCTTGTACTACCTTGAACAATATACCAGGAGGCAACCAAGAGACCTCATACGCAGTTGCCTTCACATGACTGCACAAAGAGGATTTGCAGCTCTTCAAAAACCACTTTGGCAATGAATTTAATATTACTGCAGCCTACATGGAAAAAGTCAATGGTTGGCCCAACATTAAAGGTGAAGATGCTAAAGCGTTAAACGCATTTGGACTGTTCCTTTGTGAATGTTGCAATGCAATGGAGGAACTGCAGTATTAAGCATGGCAGCTGACGTGAGAATCTTGGTTCAGAAGTTTCCTGTTAAACCGAGAGAAAAGTGGAGAACAAAGGCAAATGAGATTTTTGAGAGAACTGGTCAAAGAGCATGTTTCCCAGATATTGATGATTTTATTGAACATCCAGTTTTTGGAGCTATACAGGATATACAGCCTGCAGGAGAATCACAAGAACTAGCAAACCTCAAAGGTCCCAGTTTAAAAGAAACAGCTTTGTCACCCATGTTTGTGTTAATGATGAATGTACACTGCCTTCTCTCAGAAACAAAGTGTGTGTTAACAAATTAAACTCCTTCTCATGTCTGCATTGTGCACAGGATGGACATGCATTGGAAAAAGGTCATGCAGAGAAAAACTAGACTTTCTAAACGATAAGGGTCTATGTATTGGCTGCCTGAACACAGAACATTTAAGTAAGAGTTGTGATAAGTGCATCACTTGCAAACACTGCAGCCAAAAGCATCCCAGTATTTTGCACATTGGACAGAAGGAAAAGGCTCATCAGGTGGAAGTGGTCTCCAGCTACAAGTACTTGGGTGTACACATGAATAACAACCTCAGCTGGGGCAACAACACCACCAGCCTGATCAAGAAAGCTTATCAGAGACTCTACTTCCTCAGGCGGCTGGTCTGGGAAGCTCAGTCCTCACCTCCTTCTACAGGTGTGCAGTGGAGAGCCTCCTGTGCTCCAGCATCAACGTGTGGCATGGAGGCTGCACAGCTGCAGAAAGAAAAGCTTTGCAGAGAGTGGTGAAGGCTGCACAGAAGTCTGTTGGAGTCAGCCTCCTCACCATCACAGACATCTACACTTCCAGATGCAGGAAGAGAGCCACTTGCATCACGAAGGACCCCACTCACCCAGCACACACACTTTTTGCCACACTCCCCTCAGGAAGGAGGTTGAGGAGCATTAAGTGTAGAACCACTAGACTGAGGAACAGCTTCTACCCTGAGGCTGTTAGACTCATGAATCTCTAACCAGAATAATCACTGTAATGACACTTGGTTGTCGATATGAGCTGCTGAATATTTCATGTTGCTGGGTTCATTAATCCTCATCTGCTCACAGAGACTCATGTTCGTGCTGCTGTTGTTCTGGCACATTGTTTATGTACCATCAGAGCTTAGTGCATTCTTAGTTTAGTGTATTTAGTATATTATTAAGTTCATGACTCGCATCTTACTAATGTTTTTCTTTACAATTTGTGTTTTTGTTGGATGCAACTGGGACCCCGTGTACATGGTTTCGTCCCACGTCATGCATCACGTGTGGTGTGTATGACGAATCTCTGACTTACAGAGCAAGAAGCAATGTCAAGAGAGGAACAACATTTCATAGACATGGTGGAACTCTGCACAGCTAGAGAATGGACAGTTTAGATTGAAGTTGCCTTTCAGAAAGGAGGAAACCTTTACGCCAAACATTTGCATCGCTCAGCAAATATCAAAAGGAAATCCAAAGAGTTTTCATGAGGAGTACACAAACTTCATGACCAATGCCATTAATAGTGGACATGCAGAAAATGTCCTACAGTCCATCCACCATCAGCAAATGTTGGACGATTTCACACTTTACTTTGTGAAGCTGAGGTAACGATCATCCCATCACAAAGTTATCAGATGACCCCAATGACCTTGAAGCCACCCAACCACTTGCTCCTAATGAAAGGAAAACCAGCTCTCCCACCAGGACTTAACGAAAACGATCTTTATGCTAAAAGAAGGTCTGGTGCGAGTGGTTCCTCTTCAAAACAAAAACAAATGTTATTGAAAGACCTGGAACAAAATGTGTGAAGCTGCAAACTGAAACTACATGAACATGTAAACCTGATTTGTCTCTTATGCACATCTTGACTTATGGCTCCTTTAATTTAAGTTTAGCAATTTGCCATGTCTTATGCCACACGCCATTAGGAGCTATTTGTTTTTCTGTTCATCTCCACTAGGGAGAGTACTTAACTTTGTGTACTGATGGTGTCAGCAGAGGAAGTGGTTGCTCAAGGGCAGGTGTGATTGTGTTCAGGTGTTGCTAATGAGGAGCAAAGTTTAGTTAGGGCAGATTTATTAGTTTCTAAATGGAAATGACAGGTAAATGGACATTGTGAGGAAAATTAACGACGTATGATTTAAAAGTCAAAATGAAGATCTGCATAGTGAATCTTGATTGAGCACATGTGAAACCAGTCTACCAGTAGCAGCAGCAACCAGTAGCCTAAATTGTGTAGCCAACAGAACTAGACAGAACATTTAAAGGCCTTTGCAGGAGTCTTCAATATTAAACCCTTTAATATCCTAATTTTTTTGAGATACTGAATTTGGGGTTTTCATTGTCAGTTATAGTCAACATTAAAAGAAATGAACATTTGAAATATATCAGTCTGTGTGATGAATGAATATAAAATATACAAGTTTCACTTTTTGAATGGAATTATTGAAATAAAAATCAACTTTTTCACGATGTTCTTATTTTAGGACCTGCACCTGTAGATGAATCGTCCAGATGTTTCAGCAGTTACAGAAACAAAGAGCAAAGTTTGTAAAACCATTTGTCCATTTATTGATCAGAGCGAACATCACTGGAACAAAAACAAACATTCAAACCAACAGTTTCTGTAAAGTGCCAAGAAAATAAAATAAAACGTCGTTTAGACAAACGCCACATAAAAAACTAGAATCAAACATAAAACAATTCATATGAAGTAGATCTTGCTCTAAAATATTGCTCAGAGTCATTTCTGCTGGGGAAACGGAGGCGTGTGGGGTCAGTAGTGTTTCTGGAATGTCCTGAGTGTTCACCCCCCCCCATCAGAAACATTCAAAAAGCTGTTCTGAAGGCACGGCAGCAGGAGATCCTCACTGGAAACTAAAAATACATGATGGTTTTCCTTCAGATGGAGGCAGAAGCTGATGTTTGGTTATAAAACTATTACATTTAAACACAAAGCTGAAGTTGGAACAGGAAGTTTGTCGTTTTCTGCATGCGAGGTTAAAAAGTGAAGATTGAAAAACGTCAACGAGTCTCGGAGACGACAGACCAACAGATTCTGCTGAAACGTTCACTAACACCAGAGAAACAGAAAACCGACAGTCGGGGCGGTTGGTTCAGGTGAAGCGTTACGTTTTCTGCTTCCTCTTACTGCTCATTTCAAAGTAAGGCTCCTCCCCCCTGCCTTTGTTCTGGGGGGTCTTGGTGTCGGCAGGTTTGACCCCGGAGCTTTTCTGTGAGGCTGCGGCTCGACCCTGTTCATGTTGCAGGGAGGCCTTTGTGTGGTTGGGGGGCGCTGCGGCTCCCTGTTTGCGACCCCCCCTCTGTGCTGTGACCGCTGCTTTCTGATTGGCTTTGCTGGTGCTCGAGGGGCCCGTGCTGCCCCCGGGGGCTGCAGCGGCCCTGTTTAAGACCGGTACCTTGCTTTTAGCTGTGGTGTCTTTGCTCTTTAATGTGGAGGGTTGTACCGGTGCTGGGGAGGCGGTCCGTGAGGAGGGGGTGGGGGTCCGGGGCTGTGAGGACGTTGTTGTGGCAGTTCTCTGTGTCCTCGCTCGCCTGGACGCCTCTAGGCGGAGGCGCGATGCCGGAGAGCCAGGGCGCCGCTGGGCGAGGCGAGAGCGCTGGCTGGCGCCCGAGGGGGGCCGGGCATCGTTAGGGGTAGGTGGGGGTAAGGGTGTTGGGACGGGGGCCGCAATGGGAGAGGTGCAGGGGCTGGAGGGTTTGGGGCATTTGGAGGACGGCTCAGGACAGATGGGGCTCCTGGGATGGGAGGTGGCACCGTGAGGTCGGACCTTCAGTCTGGAGGAGGAGCTTGGATTGGGGGGAGCAGCTGATGGAGTCAGAGCTCTGCGCTGCACCCCCTGAGCCCCCGGGCTGGGGGGCTGTTTGCAGGAGCTCCCCACTGGAGTGGAGGGCAGACAGGAAGAGCCTTTGGTGCCGATGGGCAGAGGGAGCTGGGTGGGCTTCCTGGGGGAGGAGGGGGGCGTCAGGAGGTTCTTCTTCGGTGCAGACACCAAACCTTTCCGTGGCAGCGTTGGCGTGCCGGCGGGGGAGGGGGTGTAGGAGCGACACATCAGACCAGCGGCGGCTGCAGACGCTTTGCAGGCCGAGCCGGAGGAAGACGACGAAGATGAGCTGGAGGAGGAAGATGAGGAGATGAGGTCATCGACGGCTGCGAGGGGGTCCATGTCAGGAGGAGGGGGCGGCGCGGCTCTGCCATGCTGACCCCCCAGACCTGGCGAGCCCTTCTGAAAGGCCAGGATCTTCTGCTCCAGGGTGGTGAACTGCAGCACCCGCAGCGGGTCGTACTTGGACAGGAAGCCGCGCAGCGTGTCCCAGCCGCCGCCCACCCGCACCATCACGTGTTTTCCATGAAGCATCTGAGGGGCACAAAACATCTGGGTCAACATCAGCCCACGGTCAAACAACAACGACATCATCCCAACAAGCTCCCAGAATACCAGCAGATTAACTGGTCTGCTGCAGCGAGTCGTGATGTAATCACTGTTGGGTAACGAGCTTAACGTGGCCGCCAGGTCCGCCTGACTTTATAGAAGACGCCTCCTGGTGTGTCTCACATTAGAGGTGTGCGTGTGTGTGTGTGTGTGTGGGGGGGGGGCTCTCACCCTGATGAAGATGGTCTTGTCTCCGAGTCGGTAGCGTCCCTCAGACAGGTACTCGATGGAGACCCTGTTGGAGCAGCTGCAGACCTGCTCGTCCAGGCTGTGGTCCTGCACGAGACAGAACCAACATGTCATGCTCAGTGGAACAGCGTCAACGAGAAACAGCTGGAGGAGCAGCTGGTTAGGTTCACAGACAACAGAAGTAAAGATGGGCAGAGGTTCACCTATAGTTTTAGAAAATAAAAGCATGATAAATATTCCTTCATCAGGCTGTTGTGAGGAGCTGGTCCGTCTGCACGACTCTTCCAGACCCCTCACGATGTGATGCGCCAAAGATCCGTGTTCCCATTTCTTAAACATTTAACATGTTCACTGTGGTGTGAACTAAACGAGTTTATCAAAACTGAAAATAATTGTTTAGTTTTTTATTTAATATGACATCCAGACTTGTTCAGACCTGCAGGTTGTACAACAGGAAGTGTTCAATATCCAGGGATCCTCACCCATCGTGGGGGTCATGTTCCAGAGACCCCCGGAGGTGAAACTCCACAAAGTAGTGGCGTTATGTTTCTAAAGCTCAAGTCACAACAAAGTCGCCTCCGGACACTGAACAGCATCAACATTCATAAAAAGCCAATCAGTGAAGTTCTGTAAAGAAGCAGCAGACTCGTTCTGTCTCCAGCCTGAACAAGCACAAAGGAGACGGTGGAAAGAAAAAACTCCCTTTAACAGGAAGCAAGCAGAACCAGGACGAGCTGCTTGGCCCGTGGGTTCTGTCTCTGAAGCACATTTATCAGTGATGGTTATTTTTAGCAGCGCCGTCTCCTCTGGGAGGAAAACGATCAACGGACAGTGTTCGAGCACGTCCTCATCCACTGAAGCGACTAAATGAATCAAGCATCAAACAGGAACCACAACTCCCATCAGGGACGCTCCACAGCTGATTTCAGTCACAAGCAGCTAAAAATAAACTCCTCTCAGTGCACGTATGTAGCCGGCGTCACGTGTGCAGCTGCCGGCGTGGAGCTGCGTCACATGATCAGCTGTGACGCAGATCGTAGCCCAGCTCCGCTTCAAACGGGTCGCACATGCACCATCTACTGCTGCGAGCACCATCAGCTGCTCGCCTCCCATGTGAACGTGTGCAGAGGAACACCGTGCACGTTTCTAAACACGACGGGGCGCTGGGTGGGCGACTGTTGCCGCCTCCAGGTGAACGTCTCGCGCTGCGTTTGTGTCAACGGTCGCACCCACCTCGGGCTGGTAGAGGGCGCCGTGCTGGCAGCACACGCTGAAGGTTTTGACGGCCGCAGGAGGCTCCTCGGTCATCAGCAGCGTCTCCTCCAGCTCGATCTCCTTCTCCAGCTTCACCAAGACGGGAGGCTCCACGCCGTACCTGAGACAACGATGACACAGCCAGGCGAGCTGATGAAACCTCACGTGGACGCCACATTAAAATACGGAGAACAAACCGTTGCGTGCTCGGAAACCTACTTGGAGACGATGCGGCCGATCTCCAGCAGACAGAGGCAAACCTGCCGAGGCTCCTTGTGCAGAACTGAAACACAACAAACAAATATCTTCACCTTCTGCCTTTCATGTCAGTTTTAAACTTAATCTGAGAAAGGATGAAGGTGTAGTTTCAGTAGGCCTGTCACGATAACACACTTTGACGATTGTCTCAAATTATTGTGATAAACGATATCGTTTTAAATTTGACAATTATTAGTAATCGTTGTCAAATTTAAGAATAAATGTTGGTTTGTTTTGAGTGTAGTACCTTTTTTGACCAATGAAAGGCAGTATAAGACTGAACTGAAGGATGGATACTGAGGGAGCGAGCAGTGTGTCTAAGAAAAATGGGAGGGAGGCCCCTTGACGTGACATGGGCCGGCTCTCCTTCCCGTTTTTCGGTTCTCAAAATGGCGGACGCTCTGGTTTGAGCTCTTTAGCAGAGCATTTTTCACACAGCTTTTAATACATTAAAAAAAAAAATTTTTTTTAAACTGTTCTCAGCTTCTTTTTGCAAAAAACAAACTGAATATTGGAGCTTCGACAAGACGGCGGTAAAGATCTAAAAACATGATTTTGGATGGTTAAAACAGATTTTAAAGAGGAGAGAGAAAGGGAGGGGTCAGTGAAGAGCACCGGACCTTTTGTCATCCAGTGTCTTTAGTAGAAAGAGAGACATGAAGAAATTGTTAAGATATTTCCCATTTTAGACTGGTCCTATGTTTTGATCTGCTCAGAGACGGGATTATAATGAAATTATGACCCGGTTCTGACTGGGTTAAACTGGGCCAGCAAACTCTTGAGAGTCTCCTTGATAATCCAATCTGTCAAGAAATAGTTTATTCAGCTTGCCACATCACGTAGGAAGGCTTTAAAGCACCGTCTCATGTTTTCCTTACACGTCAGTACACATAAAACCACACTTAGCCACGCCCCCTCATACACTGATAGGCTGAGCTCCCCTTCTGCGAAGGGCGGAGTCTAGGGCCGTATAAATTAATGATGACGAGACATCGGGGCTCTGCTTCCGGATCTGCGAACGCGTCGCAGATTGTGTAGAGTCCAGCACTGTGAAATTGTAATCTTTTCTTGCCTTGTTCTACTATAATTGGTAAAACTTAATTGCCGTTTCCTTGATTTATTGATTAGTATAGTTGCCACTTCTGAGGGAGGTTCGAGCCGGGGGTAAAGACGTGGGCTGGAGGGGGTTTCCGTATCCGGTGGCCAGCAGCCAGATCACGTCTTTAACAAAATGATAAAGCCGATGAATGAAAATGAGGTCGATAATTTTTCATTTATCATGCGATTAATTGATTTATTGTTTATCGTGACAAGTCTAAGCTCCAGTCATCTGAAGCAGCAGCTCAGTCATCACTCTGAGATCACTGAAGCAGCAGTTTGTTTCTTTCCAAGTGCTTCAGTCTGTTTTAAGTCATTAATAATGTGCTGCCACAGAGAGAACATACTTTGAATGATCGTGCCCCCCACCCCCACCCCATCTGATCGTATTAAACTATTACTAAAGCTCAACACGGACTCCGCTCCTCATTGTTCTTTTAAAGATTACAGACAGCATCATACACATGGAGTTTATTTAATAGTAAACAAATGCTTGAAATAAATTAGATGCTTAATGTTTTTGGTATTTTAAATTTGGATTTAGAAACAAAAATACTACAAGCGGTACATCGATGTCCTCTGGCACTGAGGGAGTTGAACAGTGAATGTAGTTTTCCAGAAGAGTGTTTTTCTGGACTGGAATTCAACAGAATGGAGTAAACCTAAATGTTTTTGGTGCAACACTCAAGTGGGGAGGAGTTACACTGTCGCTTGTCTGAGGCGTCAGAGCCATGGATCCTGGTGAGCTGAGGGAGGACATTATATCCAGCACCAGGCGCTATGGTGGAGCCAGGGGGTGGTCAACGGTGGCCTTGGCCCCCACAGATTAATCTGTACCAGGACAAGCTGAGCAGGACGTTTCGGGCCGAATGAAAAGCTTCCAGAAGCTCAGAGGTCCTCGACTCCCACAGACTGCTGACAGCTGTACGTAGGTGGAGGTGAACACATGAAGATTAGCTGCAGGTTTTTACCGAGGCCCTCGGACTCGAACAGGTAGGTCTCCTCCACGCCGATGTGTCGACACCAGGCCAGGAAGTTGGCTGTGTTGTCGCGAGCGAAGAAGGAACCTGGAGAGGCGTCCAGCTTGCACGCAACTTTTCTGGTGGGAAAAAGCTGGAAGAAGAAAAAACAAGATTTTTGTTGCCTTCACCCTCACAGAGGAAGTGTCGAGCACAAAACTGTACATGTGAACATTTAAAGCCTGGTCATGTTTACACAGACGAGTATTCAACAGAAGCTGTTTAATATAGATGTATTAAAACTAAATATTAAAATATGACATTTAAAGCGTGGCTTTTATTTATGACACAAAGCTGGTGATCCTGAAGAAGCTGCCTCAGTTTTAATCTAATGAGGTCAGTCAAATCAGAAAACAAAACGTTATATCTTTTATACCAGTCTATATTTATAGGTCTATATTTTAACACAAGGTCACAGAATGAGAAGGAGAAACCGTTTCATGTTAAGGGTCAGGCTCGTGGAGGTCTCTAAACGTCCCTCGTGTCTCTGGACGAGCTGCTCGTTTCCATCGCTGCGCTCTGACTCACCTTGCAGAGAGCAGAGGGGCAGCTCTGGGCGACCTTGTTCTGCAAGGCTGCGATGAGCTGGCAGAGCTTCACGCCGTTATTCAGTTCCTCCATGAAAAACTCTGCTTTCACCTCCTCTCCTGGGGGGAGGAGATAAAGACATTTTAAAGGGTGCCGATGCAGCTGCTGTCCAAAACTCCAACGTGTAAACTTTCTTTGTAAAGTCCAACAAACTTGGGACTTGCTCTCACGTTACCAACTCTGACCGAGCCACACTCTTAGTGAAGAGTATCTGAGACTTAAATGGGGAAAAATTTGTGGGAGAGACTGGTCCAGGAGACACCCCAGACATCCCATTCCCCATTCGGTTCCTCCTGATCCCAAGTCAGAGAATATAGAAACCCTCGAGCAAGTTCTGGGTCAGCCCCGTGTTCTCCTACAGTGGGACAAACACCCTAATCAGATGTCAAAAACCACTGCAGATTCCCTTTGATTTGGTGGGTGCAGCTCCAATCAGAGCTCCTCGCCCCATCTCCAAGGCTGAGCCCGGCTATGAAGGTGGCTCATTTCAATAAATAAAATAAAAACTGGACTTCTATTCTGTGGCTGCCGAATCATTTTGGATCATTTCAGCCTCATTTATTGGCGATATTCCTTCAGTCATTTACACCTCATCTGCACTCCATCCTACCATAACTCGTGAACAAGACTCCAATACTTTAATACTGCTAGATACAGAGATGCACCCCTGACCTGGAGGGAGCAGTCCATCTTTTACCAGTTAAGAGCCATGGACTTGGAGGCCGACTCAACCCACCCGTTTCTCACACCGCTGGGAACTGCACCAGTGCACGCTGAAGGTCATGGCCTAAAAACTCCCAACAGAAAGAATCACACCTGCAAAAAGCAGAGTCGAGATTCTGTTGTGCTCAAACCAGACGTGCTCCTCTCTTCAACTGGGCCTCGAGATCCTCCATGAATACACACCGGATTGGAAACCAGAGACCGGCCTGACTTTGGTTATACAGGGACCAGATAACCCTTAATCTTCAAGAAATACTTCAAGTACCTCCCAAAAAAAAAGGTCCAAATTTTCAATGTAGACTTTGGTTTATTGCCGTCTGGCCACACTCTCCTCTGCCACAACCTTACAGTCTCCAATCTCACTCAGGTTTCCTCTTCTACATAGAATGTAGTTAACCTGCGTACTCCTTCCTTCACTCTTCAAAGGTCACTCTGTTCCTCCCTCTTTTGGAAATAGATGTTGACTACAGCCATTGCTTGTATGTGTTAGTGTACAGCACTTTGGCCAACGGTGTTTTAAAGTGCTTTATAAATAAAGTTGTATTGTATTGCATTTCCATTGTCTTGGCAAAATCCCCCACCATCTGTCCTTCCTGGTTTCTTTCCTCGACATCAAACCTACCCATCACTTCCTCATCCCTTCCGTTTCCTTCACCAACATGTCCATTCAGGTCCGTTCCGATCACCTCTCTCTCCTCCCTGGGAATACTCCATCACTTCATCCAGATCCTTCAAAATGCATCTCTCCTTCACAACCCTCACCACTGACCCAGGCTTGGAAGTGGCACAAGATGGTTTCTTGAAGTCCTTCCCCAAAGAAATCCATGTTTCCTGTCATGTCACCAAAACACTACTGTGGTGTAAGAAGAAACTCTGAAGTCCTTGTGTAGCAGCTAAAACGGGACTGAGTGGTGGTGCAGAGGTTAGAGAAGGTGGGCCTGTGATTGGAAAGTTACCAGTTCAACTCCTCGGACCGACAACATCAAAGTGTGGGAAAGATGAAACGCCCACACCCGCCTCCACCCTCATTTGTCTGCTTTGAGCCCTTGAGCAAGGCACTTAACCCCCACCATCTGCTCTCCCGGACACCCTAGATGGCAGCTCTGCTCCACAAAAAGAGCTGTGGTAGCTCCGTGGTCTATGGTTGTGTCAGGAATGGCATCTGGCATAAAAATAATTGCCACGTCTTCGTGAGAGTTATTTCACTGTGGCGACCCCTGAAGGAAGCGGCTGAGAGAATGAAAAAATATTAAGCAAAATGTGATGCAGGCACCAAACTTCTAGTTGTTCCCAAGTCTCCTGAACAATTCGACTCGACTGGCCATCCAAAAATTCAAGATGGTTAACTTATTGTAATTATTATTAATTTACTAAAGTGTGTTACTTTCATTATACAAGGCTACTGTCAGAAAAAAAAATTTGACAAAGATCATTGAAACTAAACTCCATTATCATATGACTTGTGCAGAAATGAGAGAATACTGCAGCCATCTTGAAAAAAGGCTGCCATCCTTCATTTTCAACAGGCAGATAATACCTCAAAGAAACAAATATGGTGCTTGTATCACAACTTAGATGTTTTTATTATCCACTCTACTAATACACCAAGTGATGTAATGAAACCAAACAATGTCATTTCTGGTTAAGCCACATATTTTGTAAATTATTTTCTTCCCTAAAATGCAGAAGTAGTAACTCAAAACTTAAAGACTGAAGAATACAAACTCTCAGAAAAGTAATGAATGCTTTTCTGCTTTAGCATTTGTTTCTTTAGTGTCTTTGCCTTTTATTTTTATTTTTTTTAAATAAACACCTTCTCCCACCCCCCGTTTACTTTTACCTTCTTTATCAAAGTAAAACTCCCAGGACAACATGTTTTCTTCCTGTGCAGGTGCTCGTAAAACACCAGGACACCACGGTCTGTTAGCTCTCCCACGACCCCCGATTGTAAATCAAAGCCTGAGGGAACTCCAGAAAAGACACAGACCAATCATGCTGGGAACAAAGTCAACAATACCATCAGAGCAGGTGACACCGATTGCTCCACAAAAGTTTACTCTGCCCCCAACAAAAGCCAGCCTGGAGCTTGAAACTCGAGCCTCTTCACACCTCCCAGCAGCATCCAAACCCCTCAGAACCAAAGAGTTTAAAAAGGCTAAAAACCTGAAAAGCAGGTGAAGGTGGACGAGTGCCATACCTCACGTGGAAGGGTTAATACGTGCCCTCGTTTCTCCAGAGAATAACTGAAAACAAAGAATTCAGCAGCAAACAATAGAGTCAGTTTCTGCTCAGCTTCAGTTTCCTCACTGATCCGTTGTGTAGCCTGAAACAATACATGTTCAGATAATGGAGACGGATGAAATATGGAGTTACTCCTTTCTCTGTGGTGCTCTGAGAGCTGGATGGGAATGGCTGCATCCGAATCCAATTACACAGAAGATTCACATCAATAGTGTGTCAGTATTTTCCTCGCCTGGAGGGACAAGCTGTTTGTGCGCACACACACACACACACACACGGGTGTAGCTGAGATACAAGCACAACTTTGATCAATGGGATTTACACTTAACGTTAAAGTCAACTGGTCTCCAGTTGGGAGATTTAAAAGAAATAAATTGTTGACTGAACGTACCCAACATGCCGGTGAGCCAGATGGACAGATCCTCCTGCATGGGCACCAGTGTGGCTTCATGGCGCACCGTGAGCCACTGGTCGTACTCAAAGACGTTGGTGAGGCCGGGACCGTGCCGCTGTCCTAATGGGCTCCGAGGACCCCTGGGACTCAGCAAGGGGGAATCAAACTTCTCACCGAAGCAAACCTGAAGATGAGAGGGGAGGTTACAACAGAAACCGCCTGAAACTAAAACAAGGTATGAAAAAAAAAAAAAATCTGCCTTTAATTTTATTCATAGGATTTAAAATACAATGTCATTGGCTAGTGAGCTCTGTAGGCATTTCTGGGTAGATTTGATATTTTTAGACAATGCTACGTTATAATTGTTTTTTTTTATGAATCTTAATGATAGAACACTGGAGAGGTACTGGTTAACAGACTAGAAAATAATGATCCAACGAGCGCATGTAGAAAAACAAGGAACATAGAATGGAACCAACCAATTTACCAAAACTGGAGGAGGGCGGGAAGGAACAAAAACTAAAATAACTGACAGACATACTGCTGGATGGTCAACATGTTGGTTCCTGTAAAATTATTCCAAAATGGAGGGAATTGATTGTTCCACCTTTCAGTGGTTTTGTGGGGTGGCTGAGTGGATTAGAGCAGTCGTCCTCCAATGGGAGAGTTGGGGGTTCAGTTCCACCAACAGATGTTGAAGTGTCCCTGGGCAAGACACTGAACCCCTCATTGCCTCTGATGTGTGTCCCATCAGTGTCTGAATGGGATAAAGCTCTGATCAATCCTTGTAGAGATCTAGTAGAGTGCTGTAGGAATGGATAAATGAGGCAGAGATTGTGTTGTAAAGAGCTTTGAGTGTCTTGATAAGATGCACTGCCTGGACAAAAAAAAACCAGTCAATATTTAGTTGGACCTCCTTTAACTTGATTACAGCATGTATTCACTGCAACATTGTTTTGACAAGTTTCTACAATTTCACAAGATCATTTCCATCCAGTGTTGCATTAATTTTTCACCAAGATCTTTCATTGATGATGGCAGAGTCTGACCACTAAGCAAAGCCTTCTCCAACCCATCCCAAAGATTCTCAATGGGGTCTTGACTCTGGTGTCCAATCCATGTGTGAACATGTCGACATGTCTCATGCTCCCAGAACCACTCTCACAATTCGAGCCCGATGAATCCTGACGTCATCATCTTGGAACATGCCCGTGTCATCAGGGAAGAAAATTAAAATCCATTGAAGGAATAAGCTGGTCATTCAGTATATTCAGGTGGTCAGCTGACCTCATTCTTTGAGCACATACCGTTGCTGAACCTAGACCTGACCAACTGCAGCAACCCCAGATCATAGCACTGCCCCACATGCTTGTACAGGTGGTCGCATTTCTTCCTTGAAGACGATGGGTCCTCACTATCCTTCCAGTTTTTAATAATGTGTTGGACAGTTCTTAACCCAATTTTACAAACTAGTTTCTACAATCTCCTTAGATGTTTTCTCTGCTTGATGCACATCAATGATTTGACGCTTCTCAAACAGACCGACATCTTTTCTACAACCACACCATGCGTCTTCAACACCGTTTAAGAAATGAGAAGCAACTCATTGCACCAGTTGGGGTTAAATAACTCGTTGCAGCTGAAAGAAATCGCCCACACAGCAATTATCCTATAGGAGGCTCGTACCCATTTGCTTAGTTACATCCAGGTGGAGACCGTTTGGGCCAGGCAGGGTAGAAAGGTGCTATACAAGTACTGGTATAGTTCATTTACCATTTCAGAGCTGCACAGAATACAGACGGTGTCAAAAAGATTTATGTAGTCGTTACCAGACCAACCTGGACTTCCCCATACGCCTGCAGCTGGCTCAAAGAGTGGAGTCGACATTGATGCCAGAACATGCACGTTTACTGCAACCAATAGATCACAATGATCAACAATATTGCACGTTCTAAAAACAATGAATAAATCATGCAATCCATTTGTGTACCAATCCATGTTTTGGATTATACATTGGCATTACCCATTTTTTACTTTATCAGGCTTCCTGTAATCTTGTAATTGTGTAAACAACAACGTTGTGCACGTTTCAGTCGGTACAAAACATTTGAATTTCTAATTGACAAAATGTTTTCCAATCTCTGAATGACCGTTGTGAGACGAGTGCGTAACTGCACAACAGAAAAGTCACGTTCTAGCTGCGATGCTGCCACACCACATTTGTACGCTCGACTGAAGATCAGTCACATTCATAAACGGCAGCATGACCCGACAACTGTTCAGGGGGTCCAAACCACAGATTCATCTTCATCCATCTGCAGTCAGTTCCAGTTTCAAGCACCAAGCAATGAAACGCGTTTAAAAACAAACATTTACAGATGTTGCACTTGACCTGTAGCAGTGTCTTGGGCTCAACGCCTGAAGAGACACTTGTCCCGTCTCTTGACGTCTCACTTCCATCTCTGCTGTCACGCAGTCTCCCTTAGTGCTCAGTCGTTTCATCTCAGTGTCTGAAGCCATCATTTAACAGAAGATCCAAAGAGTGAGTTTTAAAAGAGGTCCATTTACAGCCCTGGATGTTGAACTGATCACAACACGACTGTGTTGTTCTGAATCAAACATTTTCCCTGCAGCTTCATTTCTGGCAGCAGATGTTCTCCAGAAAATTACACAACTCCCTTTTGTTGACCACGTCTCCTTCTGTCCACTGCACTGACATCTGTTTAGAAACATACTTTAATCCTCTGGTCCATCACATGCCATCGAGCAGACAGTGCATCGTGTCGAAAATGAGGCCCAGATTCATCGAGTTCGATGGGTCAACAAACAGGAAACCTCCTGGGCAGGAATGTCCTCCTGCAGATGATCCAAGCTGTCCATGAACCATTGTTGCAGATAGTTGGACTACCCGAGCCTCACGAGATAAAAGCCTCAAACTCCATGAGCAGAACATTTATGTTTATTCAACTTGAACCTGGTTTTGTTCTAAAAACTAAAAGCTTCATGTCCCTCAAGTATAATAAAGGAAATTAACACTGAATTATTCATGTGGTCTCTAGAACATCCACATTAAGAAAATCAAAAACACATTCTTCTTGAAACAAATTGAGGGGAAATTGTAAAAAGTATCAAATGAACATCCAGTTTTAATGTCGACAGGATCAGGATGAAGTGAGGCGTACAAACGTGTTAAAATGGCTCCCTTGTTGTTTTGGGTTCTAGGGCACACAGTGACAGTGGGCATGAAGAACCAGGACAATATCTAACACTTTGTATTTCAAGTCCAGAGTTTTTAGCTCTTCTTCACCAAAAACTGTGGAAGAGACGTCCAGCTGAAAATCTGTTCTCACACAGCTCAGTTTTTATCTTTTTCATCTCGTTCCTAATCTTATCCATCCTCGTCCCTAAGGAGAACCTCATCTTCATTTCTGCATCTTCCAATTCATTCTCCTGTCTTTTTGTCCATGTCTCCGTCTCCAGACCATACAACATAGCTGGTCTCACCACTGTTTGTGAACTTCTCTCCATCCAGCCTGGATCAGAATGGAGTCATTCTTGATCAATTTTCAAAACCACCAAAGCTTTAAACAGTAATCACAATATAAATAAACCTGATGGCCAGAGACCCCGCAGAGCAGCTAAACTTCTGTAACTCCATCCTAGAAGGAATTAAGATTTACTGAGACTTATTTGGAGAATATTTTAAATGAATGGCTTTGAAAAAGAGACTAAATTTAAGTATTTACTCTGTATGGCGCTAGAAATATTCTGTTTAATCAGAGTCAATGGTGTGTTGCTGATTTTTGTGTTTGTTCTTGTTTAGTTTGCCTGTATTATTACCAATCATGCAGTTATTTAATGTTGAGATACTCACCCATACAGAAGTCAATTTATTTTCAAAAACAACCCTCATGAGTTTTTGCCTTCATATACACCTTTTGTTTCCTTATGCACGATTGAGTGAACCGAGAGGAAGAGGATAATTAAAAAATTAATTAATTATAGCACAGGTGGTCATAAACATTTATATTTGCTGGACTGACCGACTCCGTCATGACTTTAAGTCTTAAAGTCATGACCACATGAAGTAAAATCTTTTTATTTCATGCATTGTAAATATTTGTTTGTGTGTCCCGGGGCTGGGGGAGCAGGCAGACAGCTTTCTCCAAAGGGGGTGCCTGAACAAAACGTTTGAGAACCACTGAGCATCTTCAACTTTATAAATAAATTAAAATAAAAAAGAGGATTCTAATAAATTTTAAATCAGTGAAAAGCTTGTTGCTGCAACAGAAATGAGCCCCTTTAACTCTGAAACTTCCTGCAGTTTCCACTGCAGACTGTCAGGAGCCTCAAAGTCCACTTGACCACAACAGGTTGGAAAACAAGCAGAAAGGGACTTCGGTGTGACCTTTGAACTGGACGAGGAGGGTTCTGGTGAGAAAAGAGGACTGGCTATTTGAATAAGAAGTAGGAGAATGTGGCAAAACACTTGAAATAAAAAACGTCTCTTCTTACAGATTCAGACTAACGTTCAGATCAGAAGGAGCACAGCAACAGCACACGTTTGTGTCTGAACATCCAGCTCAGAAGATAAACGCTTGAAAATGTCCTGATTAAAACGACTGAATAATAAAAATGTAAATCGTCTTGGACAGGGGGCAACATACAGGCTCAGAGAGAACATTCAGCTTTTAAAGACCATTGTAAGAAATAATCTGCATCGTGTTAATAAATCCCCCTAACACCACCTCAGTGCTTACAGAACAGGAATGTGGTGCTAATCCAGAGAAGAAATTCAAAATACTGAGACGCTGAAGCGTTCCAGCCTTTACCACAAAGATTCGACACCGAGCCACTGAAACGATGAACTCAGAAGGTGAGGCGTAAAAATGAAGTGGAATGTAGAAATACTACAAAAACTACTTTTTTTCAAGCCAGTCAAATTACTTCTGACCTCAGTTTCTGCAAGTTCCCATGACCTTTAACTGACCTTTAGGGTCATAACTAACACAGACTGTTTAATTTAGCCGAGCTGAACTAAAAGTGACAACTCTTTACAAACGCTAAGAATCACAGCGACAGCCTGACATTTGTAACGTCTGCAGGGTTTTCTTTACAAACGGTCTCGTTTCCAGTGACCTGAAGCTCTTCAAGTTCTGAAAGTGACAGAGTCATTTAGCCTGG